GTACTTAGGGAAGCCCAAGGTCAATTCAAGGATGAAAACAAGGACACTGGAGGAGTCTGAACTCTCTGGCACCTACAGCTACAACCAACTTTATACAAAGCCCAACTCATCATAACCAGATTAACATAAAACCTCACATTAAAGGTCAGTTATCCTCAGTTCCTATTACCCTACACATCACATCTAGTTTCAATAAAAAATTGCAAGGCATACTAAAAGGCAAAGAAAAAAACACAGTCTGAAAAGACAAAGCAAGCATCAGAACCAGATTTAAATATGACACAGATATTGGAGTTATCAGTCAGGGAATTTAAAATAATCATGATTATTAATATAAAACTAATGAAAATATTAGATGGTAACAGTAAAACCTTGACTATCTAGTGCCTTAATAAAGCAGCAACTCTGCAGAGGTGAAATTCCCAAACACAGTACACATAAGGATGTCACTGGCAAAGGGGAAAAGGGGTGACAAGTTGACCTCTCCAACAGCCCTGGACTTTATCTGCTGGTGCAAATCGGACTCCATTTTGTCTTTGAACATGTCCCTCTTTTCCATAATGGGTAAAGCCCTTCAATGAAAGGATTTCCTGAGTAAGTAGCACATCATGTCATCTTTGCTGCAAATAATCTAGCCAATCAAACTCAGATGCAGCCTCCTGGCAAGTGGCATTTTCCAAAAGGAAGCCATCTCTCTTATGCAAATCTCTCTGACTGGACTGCTTTATGGTAAACTCTCCTCCAATTTCTATAGTCCTTGCACAAAGAACTGCAAGTACCACAGCTTTCCTTTCCTTTCTTCTCACCTGCACAAGTGGCTGGGTGAAGAAGTCCCTTCCTCACCAGGTCTATAATTTGTGCTTAAGCATTCCAAGGTGGGTTTTCTCCCAAAACTGTATGTGCTCTGCTACTTCTCTTTGAACAAAATTCTAGGCATGCAGATCATGAAAACCTCACTCTAGGTTCAGCTTTCTCATGGAGTTTCTCCTTCTTTCTGAAAAGATGTCATATTCTGAATAACTCCTTGGTGCATTTACTGACTAAGGTTTTACATTGCGGGCAAGAAAAAGAAAACCATGAAAACTACCATGCAGTTCTTCAGGGTGGGTCTGCTACCATTTCCTCTTCAGGTTAAGCTATACTTAGGAAATCATCTCTTCACAAAGACATAATACTGTACCTCTTTAACAGCACTTCCTCATACTCTCCTTTTCTTATGCATAAATGTTAGGTTTTCCTCTCGAGCTGGGCAAGTGTCTCCACAATATTCTGCTCTTTACCTTTGGCTAAAGAATTGTAACCAATATTCACATGCCAGTGCCTCAAGAATCCTCTTAGCTCTGTAGTGGTGTGTGTGCAAACACTACATACAAATGCTCCACCTGACCTGTGTGCATGAGAATGACCCTGAAAACGAGGGGCTCATGAGATTCTGGGCCCTCATCACCTCACTTGCAAGGGGTTATTTATCTCCTGACTGGAAGAGCCTCGGTCCTTAGTCCACTGCCATTGGAATGTCTGCGGCTGCCTGTCCTTACTGCAAATTCTACTCATCATTGGTCACACCTTCCTTGTTCTCTGTTGTTTTTTTAGTGTATTCATTCCAGTCTCCCTTTCTCTCTCTCTCTCTTTTTTTAATTTTAATTTTTGGCTTTGGCCTTCAGGTAAAAGAATAAAAACTGACACTGACTTCCCATAAACAATGACAAACACTCCAGAGGTGATGCTTTGGCTCTTCTTAGCTGTGTTGGACACAAAGAAGTGGCTCTGGCTCCCTCTCTGAATGGGTTTCCTGGAGGAGGCCATACTGCACTTTAGCCATCCTTGATGGTAGAGAGGCCAAAGTTTGCATGCTGGACAGCAGTCTGGCTGTCATGAATGGTAATGGCAGCTTTTCAACAAAAAGGCACAAGCAGATGCTACCTTATTACTAAATCACTATACCTCTGTTTTTATGCAGAGTAGAGCAGAGTTTTTACGGCAATTTTTCCAAAAGGCCAGAATAGTTTTTAAATTCTGAGATTATGATTTTTTTTTTTTGTCTCTTTCAATTTAATCTACTTTGAGTCAAAACGGTGCAGTGACCAGTCCAATGGCCTCGAATAAAGATCACCAAGTGGTACCTCTGCTGTCCCTGCACTTTTGGAGTCTGAGTTCTCAGAGGATAAGCCAACAGCTCGGTGCCTGGGGCTGTGGCGTTTGGGCATCAGGGACAGAAGGAGCTCGCAGATTCGACTTAGTGTTCCCCGAACTCCCCTGCTTTTTTTCAGGCTGGTTTCCACAACAGAGCTCAGTCAGAGCTCTGTAGAGCACCAGCTCCAGTTGCTCCTCCTAGCACATCTCATTCACTAGGAAAAGAAAATTAGAGCCAGAGAACACACAGGGGAAGCAGAAACACCAAACTTGCTCTTGGCAGGAAACACCACTGGAGAGTCAAGAAATAATGAATTATGTCGAGGCACCTGAAGAAAAGGATAACTGCAGCCTTAAAAAGATAGAGGGCCCTGAATTTTGGAAGCCCCCGAGTTTCCTCCATCTCCACCCCTCCTTGTACACAGCAGGCCACCAGCGTTTACTGAGGTCTTGCTAGGTGCACACCTCTGCTCCCTGTGCAGCAGAAAATGTAAGTACAGAGGCAGTCTCTGTCAATGTGAGTACTTGCCCCTAATTTTAAGGTGCATGTGAGTCTTTTTTTTTTTTTTTTGAGTCAGGGTCTTGCTCTGTCACAAAGGCTAGAGTACAGTGGCACGATTATGGCTCACTGCAACCTCTAAATCCTGGGCTTAAGCCATCCTCACATCTTAGCCTCCCAAGTAGCTAGGACTACAGGCATATGCCACCATACCCAGCTAATGTTTTTGTAGAGTTGGGGGGGGTCTCACTATGTTGCCCAGGTGGGTCTTCAATTCCTGGCCTCAAGAAGCAGTCCTCCCTCCTGAGCTTCCTAAAGTGTTGAGATTATAGGTGTCAGTCACCATGCCTGTCCAGTAGCACTGCTGTGGGGAAACTTGGCAGCTCTGAGGGCTCTGAGGGCACCTAGGGGTAGGGAGGCTTGTTCTGCCCAGCAGCTCCTCCCAGTCACCTGGCTATACCTCCATGTACAGACACTACACAATAGACTACAAGCTTAGAAATGGGAGGCTTGGGAAGAACATGAATCTGGAGGATTCACTCTCTTGGTAGCAAGCCGTCCTTGCAACTCACCCACCCTTTGTTTGTTACATATTTCATTTGAAAAATACTTATATAGCACTTAACATGTACCAGGCACTGTTCTCAGTGATGATAAATATTATCTCACTTCATCCTCATATCAAGCCTATAAGCCTAATTTGAAGATGAAAACACTGAGCTCAGAGAGGTTAGGTAACCTGCCCAAGGTCACAGCTAACATGGTGGAGTCAAGGTTCAAATTCTTGCAGTCTAGCTCCAGTTGATGCCACTAACTACTGAGCAAGACATTTAACCAAAGGGGCTGAGGCATTTATTTGAGCACATAACAGGCCTGCCTGAGGGCAGCACGCTCATTTAACCAAGAGCGTCTAGTGTAAGAGAACATCAGCAAGAGGGTATGAGGCAGCCAACAGCTGCAGCACCACCCACACATGTGCCTCACCGCGTTCTGCAAGGGAACACCTACCAGTCAACCCAAAACACATCTTCCAAGGCAGGCAGACCAGCACTGACCAACACGGGTGCATCTAAGCATTTGTGGACACTTACATTTAAATTACAATGAAATGAATTAAAAACTCAGTCCCTGTTCCACATAACAAGTGCGCAGCAGCCACATGGGGCCAGTGATTGCCATACAGACAGACAGACCATGTCTGTCATCACAGAAAGTTCTACTGGTCAGCATCGAGTTAGACTCTGAGTATGATTTCTTTTTATGCTTTAGTTTAAATACATTTAGGGGCAATAATTTCCTCTTTTGCCCCATTATAAATACATAAAACTCAAATGACATTTCATTTCTTCATGAAGCAATTTTTTACTCCAAAGTTCAGTTTCAAGGGGCAGAGTATGTTATTTACAAGCAGGTCAAGTAGCTCAGCATCCCCTAAGTACCTGGTCCCCAGGATATTAATATGTCTTCTATAATAATGACTGAAAGTTTAAAATAAATGAGGAAAAATGAATTCATTAAAAAGTGAGGCAGACAGCAAAATCAAGTTTCTTTCTAGACTTTAGCTTTGCGTTGGACATTAAACTCGGGACACACATTCAACTGGTCACAAGGAAGCTTGCCATCAGAGGGTGGCTAAGTCCATACAAACTAATACCCCATCAGAAAAACAGCTCAGACACGTGTGCTACTACACAAAGTGGGTCAGACACTTCCAGGCTTTAAAAAAAAAGCACCCACACAAAAACAGGTCAAATACAATGGAAGCCATGTGGCCCAGGGACAGCGGTGCCAAATTTCCCACTGCTAGCAAATATTTTCTTACAACAATTTCTAGTATCCTTAACCTCCCTTACTAGGATACTAAATAAATAGTACCATTGTTCCATTTCTTGAGGGTTCACATGAAGCAGAAAAAACATCATTAAACGTGAACAACTCAGTGATAAAGCACAAATTCTAAGACATTTTCAGAGCTAAGGAATCTAAAATCCCAAATTCTGTCTAATTCCTCAATCTGAAGTCCATGGAAGCCTAGAAACACCATCCTTATGACCAGTAGGAAGTACCTTGCTCTAACACAGATCTCTGTTCATTTAAAAAATTCTCTTCTCTCTGTTCTTTTCTCCATTTTTTATCTCACTGTCTACTCCTATTACTTTTAGTAAAACAACTGAATTTTTATGAAATCTTGTGATACAGAAGAACTTTTTTTTCTTGGATCAATGAGGCATTACTTACCAAACAGGGCTCATAGGCATGATTACTAATGTCTGGTTATCTTAAGTTGTAAAAACACTTTTTTTAAGCTCCTCAGAAGATGCAATTTTTTAAAAAAAGATGCAATAATAGTAATAATTATGTTACATACTTGTGACTTCTTGTAAGAAATCCAAACACGGTCTACTACTTCCAGAAATACTTATTGAAACAGCCAACGGGGTCTGTCCTTCATAGTTCCTTGTGTTCGTGTCTGCTCCATAATTATACAACATCCGTGCACACAGCACATCATCCCTAAGGGCAGACAAGTGTAAAGGAGTCTGTCCATCTTCTAAACGACCCAAGTTTGTGTCTGCCCCTCTCTGAAGGAACATTCGGCAGTAAGAGTGATTGCTTTTGATCACAGCGTATCGCAACAGGAACCCGTTCTGAATGTCAATGTTGGCATTGTGGTCCAGGAGGATTTTCACACAGCTTGACCTCTCTCGGATAATGGCGAGCTGAAGCGGCGTGGTACCTTTATCACTGAGTGGGTCAACCTCAGCCTTGAACTCCAGGAGAAGTCGGACAAATGAGTCCCTACCATAGTGGGCAGCCACATGGAGGGGAGTCCAGCCATCATTGCTTTTTGCATTAATGATGTCGCTCCGGTATTCAGATTCTAGCATCAAGCGTGCAATCCGGGCCCGGCCATGCATTGCTGCGTAATGAAGAGCTGTGAAGCCTCCGATTAAGTCCTTAACTGTTGGATCAGCTAGAGTTAAAACCAAAATGAAAATATTAGCAGACTCTAAGACAAAACAACCACCATGGCGTTACCATGGCACAGCATATTTTAGCAATTCTCACACAAAATGTAAAGTGACCAAACATCACAGTGAACATCAAATACTTTTTCCCTCAGTTTAAGTCAAGTCTAATTTTAATGGAAAATAAATGTAGTAGGAAGTTATTAAGTCTGGGCTAATAGAAGAGAAAGACATGGAGTTTTTGCATATATTTTTTTAAAAACGCTTAATTTTGTAAGTCTTTCTCCTTCCATTAGCCCAGAATTATTATTTTACGTATAGTTTTCCGCCACACCAATTTTTCTAAGAGAACTCAGCTGTCATAATGTGTTCTAGAACTAAATCATATTTTACTAAGCATTACACGAATGTTTACTCATGTATTTTTGCAGGGTTTCTATATGCCTTTGTGGAAACATTAAGACCAAGGCAGATATGTTACCTTCGTTTTCTCTAAGTAGGTAAAAACAATACCACCGTTATGTGCCGTCACATAGTACCTATTTACTATGTGACTTTAAAAAAGGCAGGCAAGAACATTTTAACAAAATATGGAGTTTTTGTATATTTGTATATTTTCAGATCTCCACATCATCTCTGTTTACTAATTTAACTAGCTGCCTTTGGCTACTCAATACCTGATCTCTGCATTGCTTCATGTTTCTCTTCTGTTATGAACTTTTTGTTTTCTCTCGTGCTTCTTGTTGGTCTTAAAAAGAAGCATGTGTAGCAACACCTGCTGCTCTAAATTACAAATATACTATGTTCTGGCAGACTGTGGTGTTTTATGATACATTATGTTAAAAAAAGTTTTTCTATGGTCTGTAAAAATTCCAAAGTATGTGAAGATACAAGTTGAGTGATATTGATAAATTGTATTTTCACAATATAAAAGTCTATTTTGAATTCTTAAGTTTTACATGAACTTTGGAGTTTATAAGAATTAAGTAACACATTATGTGAAAAATTAGGAGAAACCTGAGCACGGTATAAATATTTTCTATAACAGTTACAAAAACCTCTCCCACACTGACTGATTTCTGGGAAAGAAAAAACAATGACAATAATTTATCCGCTACGTGACTCCTCAAGTCACAGACCTTTGTCATTGGCCTCAGATTCATCATTAAGCCGAAAGTCAGTTCTTCGTAGTGCTCACCTCACTGGCATCCCTGGGCAGCAGAAGAAAAGGGACTAGAACTGCTTATGTAGGTCACCTCCTGGAAGCCAGTGACACAGTACACAAGAGAAATCGATCAGACCTAAGCTACCTAGAATTTAAATGCTCTCTTCTCATAAAAGTCACCCTTAATTTTTTGTTTATTAACAGAAGAGAAAAGAATCATTAATGTTTCCACAAAGGCATATAGAAACCTTGCAAAGATAGGTGAGTAAACATTCGTGTATTGCTTAGTAAAATATTATTTAGATCTAGAACACATTATGACAGCTGAGTTCTCTTAGAAAAATCGGTGTGGCAGAAAGCTATACATAAAATAATAACACTGAAAGAGTAAAAATTTTAGTTAAAAGGGAGTTAATAAGACCTATAAAAAGTAGCATTTTATAGATATGCTACATTATTTACATTTCTGAAAACATTTACTATAAAGTGATGGCACATAATGGTGGTATTGTTTTTATCTACTTAGAGAAAAACGAAGGTAATATATCTGCCTTGGTCTTAAAAAATATATAGAACCTATTTACTATGTGACTTAAAAAAGGCAGGCAACAACATTTTAACAAAGCATTTTGCTGCCATCTACTGGTAACACATGAACATGAGCTACTAATGTTTCCATCTTGACAGATAATACAGCCCGTCAAGTAACTCACATCTGTTGCAGATACACTGCTTACCTAAAGTAGACTAAGTGAATAGAGGCATGACGTCTAAAAGATCGCCTCCTATTAAAATGAAACAATCAATCATACCAATGGTCATTTCTAATCTATATCTGGCCAATCAACTGCTTGTAGACATTTCCTCTTTATTAATGAGTGAAATTTAAGAATATCTTCTCACTTCCCTCACCTTCCATCCAACCAGGGATGCCTTTAAAGGTGCCAGCCAACAGCCTTATTTATATCCTATACTTGTTCAAGTTGACAGTAAAATTAAGATTATGTTACAAAAAATTGCACTTGCATCTTTGGTTTGCACTTTAGCTCTTTTTTAGGTTCTACTTACATTTTGGTGCTATACTGTGCTAATGAAAATCAGATTAACATATAACAATCTACTTAGTCAATAAAAATCATGCAAATGAATTAACTGAGCACATGCTAGGAACATAGCACAGAATGAAAGGCTGAAGGACACCAATGCATAAAATGTGTGGTTACTGTCCTCAAGAAATTAACAAAATGAGAAAGTATAAGACAAATGAAAATGCAAACAAAAGTAGCTTCAGCATTATTATTAACCAGTGCAATAAGACAAGAAAAATATCATTTGTAATAGCAACAGAAACTACAAAACATATAGACAGAAATTCAGTAAGAAACATGCAAGGCACATGCAAAGAAAACTTCTATGATTAAAAGGAACTCACTTCACCTGTGTCTGGTCAAATGTCCTTTAATCAAACAAGCCTTCCCTGAACATTTTGTCTAAAATAGCACCCCACCAAACTTATGTCCCTTAGCAAACATTTCCCCCTCAGATAGGACTTATTTTAAACAAGCTATAGTGTAATATTACCAAACCCATTTAAATCTGTGCACAAAAATTAAAATATATACAAATAAAAGCAAAGAAACATGACCTGTGAATATGGTTTAACAGCTTTATTAAAACAAAGTTCACTCACTTTAAGTGTACAGATTGCTGCTCTTTCTGATACTGGTACACATATAACCTATCACCATAGTTGAAATATAAATCATTTCCATCAACTCAAAAAGTTCCTTTATGCCTTTTTACAGTCAATTCCCTGCTCAGACTCTGTCCCCGGCAAACCACTAGACAACAAATGCAAAGTTTAGACCTTTCTGGAAATCCACATAAGCAGAATCATATACAGACTTCTGTATGACTTCTTTAGCATCATGTTTTTGACATACTTTCTCGTATGTAGCAACAGCTCATTCTTTTGTATTACTGGATATAATTCTATAATATAGACAGTTTTTTAACCATTAATAAGCAGGTGGATATTTATTTCCAATTTGAGGCTACACAAATGAACAGTCATATTCAAGTATACGTGTGGATATATGCTTTCATTTCACTTGTGTTTAATCCTATGAAAGAATTGCTGGGTCATATGTTAAATGCACATTAAACTTTTAAAGAAACTGCCCAATTGTTAGTTTCCAGTAGCTATATCATTTTACATGCTCACCAGCAATGTATGAGGGTTCCAGTTGTTCTACATCTTGGCACCATCAGTGATTTTAATTTTACCCACCCTAGAGAAGGCAAAAATAGTGGCTCATTGAGCCTATAATTTACATTTCCCTAGTAACTAGGGATACTGGACTTATTCATATACTTCATTTCTGAATTGTCTGTTCACATTCTTGACCCATTTTTATTGGCTGTCTCCTCATTAATGAGCTATATATATTCTTATTACAAGCCTTCTGTTACATATGCTTTGTAAATATTTTCTCCAGGTTTGCTGCTTGTCTTTTCACTTTTCTGAAGAGTAAAGTTATTATTTTGATTAAGTCCATTATCCATTTTTTATTTTATAGTTTGTGGGTTTTGTGTCCTATTTAAGAAATCTTTGCCAATACAACATCACAAAGATTTTCTGTTTTCTTCTAGAAAGTCTGGACTTTCGACTCTTACATTTAGGTCAATGATCCACTGCTAGCTAATTTCTGTGTATGGTGTAAAGTAAGGTCAAGGTTCATTATTTTCCATATACATATCTCTTTGTTCCAGAGTTTGTGTAGAATATTTGAAATAATTCAACAGAGAAGTCAACTGGGCCTAAGAAAACTTTATTTTCTTAGTGAAAACTTTAGTTACAAATTAAATGTCTTAATTTGATACAGAGCTATTAATCTATTTTTTCCTTGGGTCAGTCTCAGCAATTTGTGTCTTTCAAGGAATCTATTTCTCCCAAATGACACAAAGATGCTCATTATAGTCTTTAAAATCTTTCTGACATCTGTAGGATCTGTAATGACATCCCTTTTTCCATTAAAATTTTTACTGATATATATTTTACATATCTATAGGGTACATATACTTGTTACATGTACAGACCATGTAATGATCAAGTCACCTTGAGCATTTATAATTTCTATGTGCTGGGAACATTTAAAGTCCTCTCTTCCAGCTGCCCTGAAGTATACAATACATTGTTTCTACCTATAGTTACCCTACTCTGCTATTGAACATTGGAATGTATTTACGCTATCTAACTGTATGCTTGTACCCATTAACCAAGTTCTCTTCATCCTGCCTCTCCTACCCATATAACTTTCCCAGCCTCTGGTGTCTATCATTCTATTTTCCGCCTCTATGAGATCAAGTTTTTAGCTCTCATATTTGAGAACATGCAGTTTTTGTCTTTCTGTGCCTGGCTTACTTCACTTAACATCATGACCTTCAGTCCTACTCATCTGCTGCAAATAACATGATTTCATCCGTTCTTATGGTCAAATATATACCATGATGAACACTCAGGTTGATTTCATATCTTTGCTATTATGAACAGTGCTGTGATAGACATGGGGATGCAGGTATCTTTTTGATATGTTGATTTCTTTTCCTTTGGATAAATACCCAGTAGTGGCACTGCTGGATCATATAGCAGTTCTATTTTTAGTTTTTAAAAGAAACCTCCACATTGCTTTCCACAGTGGTCATACTAATTTACATTACCACCAACAGTGTACAAGAGTTTATTTTTCCCCGCATTCTCACCAGCATCCATTACTTTTTGTTGTTTTAATAATAGCTAATTCTAACTGGGATAATATATCTCATTGTGGTTTTGATTTG